TCAGAAGCCAAGATGGTAAGAGGATCACCAATTCCACCATTGTTGCGCAGAAAGATAGTGCAGCAATACCAGAATGGTGTTACCCAGCGTAAAATAGTAAAGACTTTTAAGTTATCATCATCAACCGTGCATATCATCATCAAAAGATTCAGAGAATCTGGATCATATGCATCTTAGCTTACATTACTACCTCGAAATACGTGTTCAAATTCATCCATCCTGCTGCACCATTATAGTCTACCTTGTTGTTGCTCAATATCTCTCTTTATGACATTGTAAATATTTTAATTAATTACTTTTTCACTTTTTGGTACCTTTTTTAGGTGTACCCTTATTGTATGCTTTTGTGTTTTTGTTGTTGTTCGTTTGTTCTTTGATTTTTTTTTAGTGAGTCAAATTGGTTCTTCTCATTTCGCATTTCATTGTACTGTTCACCCTGTTAGCCTTGCATATGACAAATAAACACAACTGGAAAACAATGCATTATGTTTCAAAACAAAGGCGCTCATTTGTCAAAAAACAACAGCGATCAAAATGTAAAAAAAAAAAAAAAAAAACAGTTCAATTTACTTTAATAAAAAAATGGATGGATAGTCTTTAGTTGGACAACCGAGAATTGAAGCCTTCAGGTGCTTCAAAGGAGCAACAACTAGGACTGAATTCATCCCAAGTATGTAGAGAACCCCTTCTCAATTCATCTCAGAACTGTGAAGGGAGGGAGCTGGGACACCGGACACCCCCACCCCCCACTCCACCCCCTTCAATACAATTCAACGTTTATTTATACAGGTTAGTGATTGAGCCTCAAGGTCTCATTGAGAGACCTGTAATCCGTGAAACTGCAACTAAAACCATCACACTGAAAAGCAGGAATGTTTAGATACAAACCTAATCTGTGAAGCTGAGCTTTTGGGTTGAAAACAGCATCTTGAGTTTTGTTGTGTTGCTGTTTGTCCCTTAAACGACATCGTTCCTCTTTATAATTTGCGAATGTTGTTTCCAGCAACTCCAACATTTCTTCAGCAGCCACTTCCTCTCGTTGTTCAGCCTGCTGTCTCCTCATCTCTGTTAGCTAAAGTTTCCATAAAATAATAGATACGGAACGGGTACAGACGAACCGAAGTCAAGGAAATTTATTTACTGTAAGTTTCAGGAAATTAACTCGTAGTCTAAAAGTACACACAATATCTCGCATTTTTTATTTTCATTAGCGTAAAAAACGTACTTCAAAAAAAAAAAAAAAGTACTTCCTGTCACTCTTCTTCTGGTAATGTTTCAGCTATGCAGCGGTATTATTTGTTCCGCAGCGACGCCATCTGTTCAACAGAAGAACTGCAGTGAGTGCACCACGTAAATAGAAAAAATATACAGTATATATTTTTTGAAACATCATCTTGTAGGTTCTTATTTTGTGGTTGGGAAATAATAGTTTGATGCATTACCGCCACCAACTGGTGTGGATTATCACGGTATATTATGTAATATTTGTATAATAAGGTCATACTATGTTAATCAAATTCGTTTTGCTTTGTTTTTTAAATCTAATTATCTGATAAATGCTTGCTCTATAAGTTCTTTTTAAGTGTGTATCTTTTTAAAATATTTTACAATTATTTCCTCATGTGCATTCTTTCCTGTTCACATATCTGACATTTCAATGCATGTAACACTTTTTTTTTCATTCATTCATGCAACCTTTATTTATAAAGGTGTCTCATTGAGCCACGAGGACTCATTTACAAGAGAGTCCTGTTTTAAACAAAGAACACAGATGACGTACAGACAACAACAGACAGTCATTAAAAATTGAAAAAGCAAATTAAACTAAACTGGAACACAATTGGGCAAATCCTACTTTTTTTTTTTTTTTTTTTCTCCCATAATCTTCTTCTTAAAGACTCTTCACTCTTAGAAACAGCACCTTCTCATAGTGGATCAAACTTTGTTGGTGACAGACAAAACTATTTGTTCACATGCAAAATGAGGACCATCAGCCAAAAAAAATTGGTCTTTAGTGCCCTGATGGCCTCTTGCTATCCATAGAGGACTGAGTGATACTTGCAATAACTGCACTGTAAGAGAGTGACCGTGATCACATTTACTCTGTGTATAAATACATAAAGTTCACACAAGAAGATGTAAAAAAATGGCAGGTTGGCTTTCTTGGACTGTGAGGTCTCATTCTCTGATAAAGGACATTTGCAAACTGAACTGCAAACCCACCCAGTGATACCTTTTCCAAGAGCCTGTAACTCAAATCTTCTGTCAGCAGGCACTGGGCAAGCAAGATCCTACAGAAGGCACAAACCCAGCTGCTGAATGAACAGGGGAGAAAGATCAATTATACCACTGAAGCTTTAGAGGCCAAAGAAGAGCACATCTGACAGAAACTAACAGCACACCTAGATCAGACCACATTTCAGTTTCATTCTTCAGTTTGGTCGGATTATTGGCTTTATTTGAGATGTTTTCTACAATGTTTCTCTTCCCGCCTTGATGTTGTACTTTTCAAATAAATTCTCCTTATTCACTTGTGTTCCTTCCTCCTTTCTTGTTCTCGCCTCTTTTCCTTCCCTGCTGCAGGACAAGGAGCCTTCGCGGGATCATCCCACTGGAGAATCTCAGCATCAGGGACGTGGAGGAGCCCAGGAAGCCTGTATAAAGTGTTGTCTCATCACAGACCAAAGCTTTCCTTTTAATATTTACCTTGCTGTGTGTTTAGAAAACTACTTCTTGGCTGAAGATGATTGTCTGCTGGTTGCCATCTCCTCCAGAACTGTTTCGAGTTGTACAATCCTAATCACAAAGGCCAGGTGATCAAAGCCTGCAAGACAGACGTGGATGGGCGTGTTGTTGAGGGCAACCATGTTGTTTACAGGGTATCAGCACCCACGCCTGAGAAGGAGTGGATTCAATTTATCAAGTTAAGCGTCCTCTTAAAAACAGTGTCAAAGACTGCTTCTTTGGCTTCTAAAAGCTTTGTAGGTCAAGGCACTTTTTTATGATAAACTTGCTAACTTTAACATTCTTTGTAAAAGCTGTTAGTAATATTACGTGTATCTACATAAAGCTTAAAGCGGTTTCATGATGTATTCCTTACTGATGTTTATCACAACCTACTTTGTTTAAATAAGCTGTAAGTCATAAAACAAACTTTAAAACACTTCATAATGAAAAGCTCATATTGTCATCTTTGTGCAGAGATGTGCTGTTTGATCCTGCATGGCTGATCACAACCAGCTGTGTAAACAGGAAGAACATGATTTGTTGTTTTCCATGAGTGAAAAAGTGGTGCCCCTAGAGGTTATCTGGTTAAATAGTCAGTGTCGGAGAGATTTGTCATACAAGCCACATGTGGTACATGTCGTGGAACGAGATTATGTACACAGGGTCCCCGTTGCATACCACAATAAAATGTAAAATAAAAAACAGTAATAAGATCTAAGATATGAACCAATAAAAACATCAACTAAATAAATATACATTAAGCACTAATAGCATAAAAACAATACGACGAACAGTAGCATGAACATGAGTCTGTGAGCAGATGAGCATGAAACAGATCAGCAGCAACATGAAACAGATCAGCAGCAACATGATGTGATTTTCCACAGTGATAATCCTGATTATATATTATCCTGATTAGATTCATGAGTCTTAACAGCTTCAGAGTAGAAGCTATTCCTCAGTCTAGTGGTTCTGCCCCTTTTCCAGTGTCACGGTGCAGGTCGGATATTTCCGGCTCGACCCGTGTTTCAGGTCTTTTCCATAGTACTTGGGACCGGCTCAACTCCCAGAATTCTGGCCCGGCTTCTCAAGGTGTCCAAGCGACCTGAGCCGTGACGTCAGAAACACTGTTGGTCACTGATTGGTCGGGGGGAGGGGTCTGTAGAGTTTTTCCAAACAACCCAATTCACCATTTTTCTCTACAGCCTGCCATTCTATGTTCTAGAATTGCGCCGCTCAAGGTGCATGTTGGAGCAGCTCTGTTACTTTCATTCTGAGATTTTGCTTTTGGAAACTTTAATTCCTCTTTTTCTGGATGTAAATCACATTTTTTGGATGATTGTTTCCTCTGGTAGCAGATGCTGTGTAGCTGGAAGGACTTTTACTGAGGCTTTTTTAGTTTTGGACATTTGTTATGATGCGTAACCATGGCAACAAGGCAGTTTTCTACAACCAACAGCTGATTAACATCTCAAAAGCTCAAATAATATCTCAACTACAGCCCCAAATCTCAAATGAGTTGAAAGGATGTTCTGTGGACACATTCTCATCTACCTGCCTGCTGTGCTCGAGTGCCTGACCACTGAGATCCTGGAACTAGGAGGAAACACGGCTCATGACAGTGGAAGGACAGGATCGTCCCTCGACACCTACAGTTGGCTGTCCGCAGCGACGAGGAGCTCGGCAGACTGCTGGGAGGAGTGGCCACTCTGGGAGGAGTTCTGCTCGACATTCGGCGGGTCCTACAGCCCGGGGGAACCAAGAGGCCAGCCGAGTCTGGGTGGACGGATCGGACGGCATCTGCAGCCAGTTTCTTAGGATCCACTGTGGGATGGACCTTTACAAGAGATCCTTCCTGCCTACAGCCATCAGTATCTGTAACATCTCTTAATGAAATGAGGATAATGAGTTACAACAACAAATAATTTCCCTTTGGGATTAATAAAGTATTTTTGAATTGAATTTAATTGAATGCATAGAGGGCAGCACGGTGGCGCAACTGGTAGAGCTGCTGCCTCTCAGCGAGAAGGTCCTTGATTCAAACCCCGGTCCAGGGGCCTTTCTGGGTGGAGTTGGCATGTTCTCTCCGTGCATGCGTGGGTTTTCTCCGGGTGCTCCGGTTTCCTCCCACAGACCAAAAACATGCATGTTAGACTGATTGGTAACTCTAAATTGTCCCTAGGTGTGAGTGAGAGAGTGAATGGTTGTCTCGTTTGTCTCTATGTGGCCCTGTGATGGACTTGCGACCCGTCCAGGGTGTACCCCGCCCCTCGCACAGTGATTGCTGGACATGGGCACCAGCGACCCCCGTGACCCAAAAATGGAATAAACGGGTAAAGAAAATGGATGGATGGATGGATGGATGAATTCATAGATATCATATAATCACTAGATCCCTCATTGGCTGCTGCGGCGCAAGATCTGCAGTGGAAGTGGTCTCCAGCTACAAGTACTTGGGTGTGCACCTGAATGACAACATCAGCTGGGGCAACACCACCAGCCTGATCAAGAACTCTCATCAGAGACTCTACTTCCTCAGGCGGCTGAGATGAGCTGGGCTGGGAAGCTCAGTCCTCACCTCCTTCTACTGGTGTGCAGTGGACAGACTAGAAATACTTCATAAAAATGTAAGCAATGTCAAAATATGAAGATTAATGTGCAACAGGATGTACATTCTGATTGTACAGAATAATAACATTTTTGTTTTCTGTTTTAATATATTTTAAAGCACAATTTTGCACAAAAACAGTGATTAAAAAATGTTCTGAATCTTTTATACCAAATCAACATTCTGGTTAAGACCAGGAGAGCCAAGCTCCAGCTAATGACCGACAGAACCGTAGCTCAGGATTGTAAGACACAAAACTGTGCGCCAGCTGGATGGACTAGTTGGTGACTTTTAAAAAGACATTTGAATGCGGATTCGCTGCATCAGTGCTCCAGGAGTGCGCAGACAGAGGAATATAAAAGAGGAACGCTGTCCGTTTCTTCGAAATTTAACAAGAAATGCACCTAAAACAGTTATGTTTGCTCGAAATTGAAGCAAAGGTGTGTCTCAGTTGAACTTTTACTTAATAAATGTACATTAATGGTCAAATTAGCTGCATTTCGCCGGGGCAGTGCAGCTAGTTTGACGGTTCAAAGCAGCTAGCAGAACGAAGGTGGGGGGACTTTGGCAAGCTGATTGTGTCATTAATAGCTGGTGAAAATTTTCAGTTGTCAAGGACATGGTAAATTATTTTCAGTAATCCAGGACATGGTAAATTCAAAAAAAGTTCAAGAAAAAAAAAAACAAAGTATAAAGTATAATAAATAAAGTCCAGTTTTTGTATCAAACTTTTTTTAATTTGTCATTATAGCCACGTTTACCCATTACATGAAACAACAGCAGGCCATATTATATGACTACTCTGCTACCATCCAGTGGCTGAAAGTGGTACTGCTCAAAGTTTTTTTTTTCAGTCTGAATGAATGAAAACTGTCATATCTCAGCCAAAAATAGGTTTATAAATATGGGCAAAAAAATCATAATCGTAGGCCATGTAAATTATGACAAAAACTGTGACTTATAGGGCGAAAAATACGGTACCTCTTCTGGGGTAAGTTGAACTAGACTTTTACATAAGTTTACTTATTAAAAAAATTGAAGAATCACCTAGTGGACAAATATAAAAGTCAAAAGTTTGGTAGCAAAGGTACAAAGAAAAACATTACTGAAAGGAATGCGTTATTTTATGATATGAGATTAAAACAGACAAAACAAGGGTTATTATTCACAGCTAAACTGCTTTCCTCTGGTGTGGATTCGCATGTGTCTGTTTAAATTTGACTTAAGTCCAAACCTTTGTCCACAAAGATCACAAACAAATGTTTTCTGTCCTGTGTGGACTATTATGTGTGAATTTAAATGTGACTTCCGTCCAAACTTTTGTCCACAAAAATCACAAACAAATGTTTTCTGTCCTGTGTGGACTATCATGTGCAAGTTTAAATCTGACTTCCGTCCAAACTTTTGTCCACAAAAATCACAAACAAATGTTTTCTGTCCTGTGTGAACTATCATGTGTGAGTTTAAAGTTGATTTCTGTCCAAACATGTGTCCACAAAGATCACAAACAAATGTTTTCTGTCCTGTGTGGATTTTCATGTGTCTGATTAAATTTGACTTCCGTCCAAACTTTTGTCCACAATGATCACAAACAAATGTTTTCTGTCCTGTATGAACTATCATGTGTGTGTTTAAATTACCCTTTTGGTCAAATCTTTTTCCACAGTCTTCACAACTAAATGAGTTCCGTTTTGACTGTTTTTTCTTGATTGAGCCTCCAGTTTTCTTCACTTCAAAACATTCCTTGATAACCAAACAACTTGAAGACATCACTGACTGACTTGTCTTGTGAAAATGTTTTCCATGCTCAGTGAAGCTGCAAGATTTGTTGACAGTGTTTAAGCCTAACTCAGAAGCTCTGCCCTCCTTCCAGTCTTTGTCACCATCTTCAGGTTCTGATCCAGAGTTTGATAAGTCTTTTAGCTGAGAGTCAGAGTCATTCACATCATCACCTTCATCATCCTCACTGACTTCAGTCTCTGAAGAGCTGCAAACATCTCCATAAGAATTTAGATCTGGGTTCCTGGTAGTCTCTGCTCCTCCACATTCCTCTCCACCAGTTGCTGCTTTCATTTGGTCAGCTGAGCTGCTGGTTGGAAGATCTTCCTCTTTTACTTGGTGCAGATGAAGCTGTAAAAACAGAGGTTTCTCTTCATCTTCTTCACTCTTCAAAGGAACAGCAGTGAATGCAAACCCGGTGTCATCAGTCTCCTTTTTCACACAAAACTGCTCTCCCTCTTGACTGGTCCACAGTTCCTCCTCTTCCTCCTTTATGTTGAGGGTCTCTGGATCCTGTTGGTCCACACCAAGTATCTGTACTTCAAGAGCTTCTTCTTTAATCAGCACCATCTGCTGAACATCTGCAGGGAACACTGAAAACACAAACATCAGGCACAATTATAACTTTATATTCACACATACAGTGTTGGCTGAAAGTTTGTGAAGACTTTAAAACTTTCCACATTTCTGCATAAAAATGACAAAACATCATAAGATTTTCACACAAGTTCTAAAAGTAGATAATGAGAACCTAGTTAAACAAATGAGACAAAAATATTATACTTTGTGGCGGACACAAATGTATATATTTCAGGTTAAAATATGCTCTTATTGTGAAAGTGACAGAATATAAACAGAGTGGATCAACGGTTGTAATTCATTCGTTTTTCTGAGCTTGATGTTGGAAACGTAGAGAATAAATCGAGACTCAAAATATTTTTTGTTTCATTCTGCCGACTTCCACATTGGTGACCCCGAACATCTGAACATGTTTTCGAATGAGAACTTACCAGATGCCGAGGCTGCTTCTCCATCAGCCGTGTTTTTGGACCAAGTTTTTTGCCGGGCAGATGTTGCTCCAACCGCCGTGGTCTTGTCTCCTCCCACCGCTTCATCTGCTGTGTTTGCGGACATTATTAAGTTTCCAGAGTTCTGGCAACACGATCCGAAACCATGGTTCCAGCATGTGGATGCCCAGTTTCATCTCCGTCAGATAACCACAGACGAGACCAAGTACTTTCACGTCGTTGCTGCTTTGGATTCTGGTTCCACCCACTGTCTGATGGGTCTGCTGCGGGACCCACCAAGCACTAACAAATATAGTGCGCTCAAGGAGAACCTGCTGCGGCTTTACCAACTGTCAGACGGGCTGACAGTTTGTTGTCCCTGAGTGACTTGGGGGATCGCAAGCCCTCCGAGCTGATGGAGAACATGCTGGCGTTACTTGGCTCAGGGGATGTTTCCTTCCATTTTACGCACCTGTTTCTTCGACAACTTCCTCTACCTTTCACACCGCACTGGCCAGCTCCCCACTGGCCAGCTCCCCACTGGCCAGCTCCCCACTGATCCGGACAAAGGATTATTGCTCCCTAGCTGAAGAAGCACTTCCAGGCACTACAGTGAGCAGGCACTTTTACCAGGTGTAACTCAAAGGGGGGTGGAGGCTGTTGATGCCGTGGCTGCGGTGACGGAGCGGCGGATGGACGACGTGCTTTGCTTCTACCACTGCCAATTTGGAGTAAAAGCAAAGCGCTGCATTCCTCCATGTTCATTCCATGCATCAGGGAAACGAGAGGGCCGGCGCTAGCAGCTGTGTGTGCTGGCAGCTCAGATAAGCTGCTTCTCATCATGGACAAGGTTTCTGGATGGCGTTTCCTGGTGGACTCGGGTGCACAGTAGAGCATTATACCAGCTTCATCTACAGATGCCTTGTGTCAAAGTAACAGACCCCAACTGGACGCATCTAATGGCACCCCCATTCAAAATTTTGGATAGAGGTCGATGACTGTGTGTTTGTTTCAACGGATGTCAGTTCCAGTGGGACTTTGTAATAGCTTCTGTGTCTGTACCTATTTTGGGCACTGATTTTTTTATGTGCTTTGAGCCAGGTTACTAGTGCATGTTGCTAATAGCTGCTTAATCGATGCTGTGTCTTTTGATACCTACCCCTGTAAACTTGGAGGTCCTGCCCATCAACCTCTAGCTAACATGCTCGCCACAGGTGATGAGTATCAGCGTTTGCTGTCAGAGTTTCCTGCTCTGACTGTTTCCACCTTTTCTGCTACCATAGCTAAACATGAGGTGGAACATTGTATCACTACAGTTGGTTCACCGGTTTTTGCACGAACACACCACCTAGATACCACTAAGCTAGCAATAGCTAAGGAGGAGTTTGTTAACATGGAACGTCTTGGCATTGTGAGATGTTCCAAAAGTCCATGGGCATCCCCCTTGCACATGGTGCCAAAGGCCGATGGGGGTTGGCGACCCTGTGGGGATTTTTGGCGCCTTAACAATGCAACCAGTAATGACTAGGGCTGTATACCGAACCAAGGTTCTTTTATGGCACCGACTGAACTGCGTCAGTCGGTGTATGGATTGAAACATCACTCTTCTTTCGGTGTTAAGTTTCGATATTGGATGCAACGTGTCACGTGGTTTCAGCACGCAGGCAGGTAAAACACAGACATATGACAAACAGACTACGTGTTTACACCCAGAGCTGTATAGGGCTGCCCTACAGCTGTATGTCTATGGTGCTGGTTACGCCCACAGACGGGGTTCACGTGTGCAGCGCGTGTGGCGTCCAACGGCTTCAATTTACGAGCGGAAAATTGCTCTGCGTTTGTCTTCAAGGGAGACCACAGCCTCCCCCCCTCCTCTCAGCGTTAAAGTCAGCCTGTGAGTGTTGAATGGCCTGATTCAACATCTTCATGACCGGACTCTGCTTCGCTCCGAGGACGGAGCTGTGTCTGGGATTTCAGCTGGTAGGTTTACGTTTGTTAACGTTACTGCAGCTTAATACGAGCATCGTGGTGAATTAAACTAGGATTCATGTAATGCTAACTTTAAGATATTAGTGTGGAGCTTTATTTTATGGTTATGTAGCTAGCTAAAATCACAAGCCAACTAAAAATTGACACTAACAGATAAAGTTTGTAAAAATGTGCTCATCCATTGGATCAGCTGGTTAAACAGTTCACCTAATGTTCACAGTTTTTTTATGTTCTCCTCACAGGAACCTCTACCCTGATGTGAGGAGGACAGATACTGACAAAAGAAAAGCGAGATGGGGGGGGGGGGGGGGGGGCACTGCCTTTTTCTACAGTAGCAGCTCCATGGTGGAGGCAAGTAAGCTGTAAAGGATATTGTTGACCAGTTAAACTTTTATCTCTCAGCCTAGGTAATGGTTTTTGATCAATAACACAACCATGTTATTGTTGATGTTTTGTGTTATCATGTCGGTTAGGGAGATGATAAGAGCCCTAAACCCCAGAGAACCACTGAGAAGATTCAGGAAGAGACACAGAGGTACAGAAGTCTGACATCAAACCTAACCTCAGTGAATCCAGTGACCTGGTGGTGGAATGTGAGGTACACACTATGTCAGTGCTATCAAACTGGCAACCAGGTATCTGTGTGTGCAACAGCATCATCCACACCCCCAGAGCGAACAATTTCTACTGCTGGAGACACCATCAGCCAGGAGCGGGTTTGTTTGTGTCCAGAGAAAGCAGACATGCTGATTTTTCTGAAGAAAAACTGTTAAGTGAAAAGGTCCTCAGTGTGTAGCAGTGAGCATTAGACACTGACATGTCACTGGTTTGCAACTGTTCTTTTGACTTGAAATTATTTGTTTATTTTTATGTAAGAAAACTGCTTGGAATGGAAAAATACTAAAGTTAAAAAATAAAACTCACAATTTGTACTGTAATGTGTAACGTAATTTTCTTCTTGTTAGAACTGATATTAATTACAAAATTGGTACCGAAAAAAGAACCGTCCAGAAATCAACACCGACGTGAAGGTACCGACACCGGTACCGATTTTTTTTTTTTTTTTTTGAAAAAAAAGGTACCCAGCCCTAGAGCAGGTCCAAGAAAAAGTTTGTGAGTACAGAGCTTCAAGGTGTCCTTCCCTTGAAGATGACTCTTCTTTGATGGAAAGACAATGAGGACAAATACAACCACACAGCAAAATGAGCAAAGTGCTTCCTCTTTATTCCTGCTACCTGTTGTTAGTGAGCGGTTTTCTCCACAGCTGGAGATAATGTCACTGCAACTAGATCTGTGCTTTTGGCAGAAAACGTGGACAAGTTGTTTTTTTTGGCCAAAAAGTTAAAACTTGATTAGTTAGATTGTTAACGGTCTGTTGCTGCTTATTGTTCTGGTACTGACTGTTATTGTATTTATTAAGATTTTCATTATTGTTAGTATAGTTTATCTATTGTAAAGAGTGACATTTATTTAAAATATCATCCAAATGGGTTGCTTTTATTTATTTGTATATAAACGTATTGTTTACTTGGCATATTTTCAAAATAAACATTTTGTAAGTCTTTGTTTTGGCCTTTTTTTTGTACTAAAAATTAACCGAACCGAGCCCTCCTTGAAACTGAACCGAAATGTGATTTTAGCGTACCGTTACACCCCTACTGTATACTATGTAAATGACTTTAGTAAAAGTGTGTATGTTAAGATAGGCAATATATGCTCTCATTTGTACTTCCTGTATGGAGTGTATATAAACGCGAGAGTTTAATAAAACATTTCTCTTCTCTTCTGATGAAACCAGGAAGCTGATGTTGTATATTTAGTCCTTCGTCCTTTTTACTGGTATTTTCGTTATTCATGCAAATTCTGCTGGAAGAAGCATCTTTGCTAACAGGTTATGGGCCCAGCAAATGATGAACACAGTGAATGCTGAACCAGGAAATACTGAAGGAAAAGTTTGCCACTAGAAAAGTCCACACAGAAAAGTACAGAGTGTTTGGTGAGGACTAGAATGCCAATTTCTCCTTCTCTTACTCCGCTCCTGTTTCCTGGAATATCTTGCAAAAAGATCTGAAGCTCTCGACCTTGACCTCTCTAAGTGGCTTCAAACATCTGTTAAGTTCCTGGCAAAAAACAATGCAGACATGTTCCTGTTTTAGTTTTCTAAATCGCCTTATAATCTAGCTGTTTTTTCGCTACTTTTCAATATCCTTTGAATAACCTTTTTATTTCAATTTGTTTTAAAAAAAATTGTACACATCCTTTATGAATGTCTATTGTTGTCCACTGTGGTCATCACTCTTTGTTAAAATTCAGGTCTCTCTTGTAAATGAGTCCCCGAGGCTCAATCAGGGGTAACCTGTATAAATAAAGGTTGATTGAAAAAAAAAAAAAAGACCTTGGTAAAATTTAATTCAACCTTTATTTTTACAGGTTGGTCTCAATGAGCCTAGAGGTCTCGAGAGACATGTAATCCGTGAAACTGCAACTAAAACCATCACACTGAAAAGCAGGAATGTTTAGATACAAACCTAATCTGTGAAGCTGAGCTTCTGGGTTGAAAACAGCATCTTGAGTTTTGTTGTGTTGCTGTTTGTCCTTTAAACGACATCGTTCCTCTTTATAATCTGCATCTGTTGTTTCCAGAAACTCGGACATTTCTTCAGCAGCCACTTCCTCTCGTTGTTCAGCCTGCTGTCTCCTCATCCCCGTTGGTTAAAGTTTCCTTTACATAATAGTTTCGGAACGGGTACAGATGAACCGAAGTCAAGAAAATAAAATTACTGTAAGCGTAAAAGACATATTTCTAGTCACTCTTCTTCTGGTGTTGATTCAGCTGTGTAGCGGTATTAATTGCTCCGCAGCGACGCCATCTGTTTAAGAGAAGAACTGCAGTGAGTGCAGCATGTCTGAAGGACAGAAAACATGAGGTCTGTCTGCAGAAAACGTAGTAAGTAAAATAGATATACAGTATATATTTTTTGAAACATCATCATCTTGTAGTTTTTTTTTATTGTGGTTGGAAAATAATAATTTGGTGCATTACCACCACCAACTGGTGTGGAGTGTGGTTCAATCATGGTATATTATGTAATCGTTTCATATAGGGTCATACTCTATTAATCAAATTAGTTTTGCTTTGTTTTTTTTATCTAATTATAATTGATACATGCTTGATCTATAAGTTCTTTTAAAGTGTGCATATTTAAAAAAAAAAAAAAATTATGTCTTCATTTGCATTCTTTCCCGTTCATAGATCTGACATTTTAATATGTAACATCCAATGAAGTTAAGTCAGGTCCTATGGACGTTCGAAAAAAAAAACTGTAGAAACGTTTCGTCTTTCATCCGAGGAGTATTCAGTCTTATAAATAGCACCTTCTTGTAGTGGATCAACCTGTTTTGCTGAAACATTCGAAAAACTCACAATGTTGATATCTTGCCTTATCAAAAAAGTAATACTCCCAAACTCTCTCTGTTAAAACATTGCATGTTTTAAGTTTGATTCAAAATATGTCATATGCTGAATGTTTATTCATGAAAATGTGTTTTAAGTTATCTTTCTTTAAGCTAATACATTTGTCTTATTTCCTCTTTTAAAAGGAAACTTTTAAGGCAGAGAAAAGGGACTTTAGATTTGAAAACAAGGTAAAAGTTAGAACCACCCCTCCTCCCGAGAGGTGGACCTTCATCTCTGTTTCACACAGACAGTATGTTTGACTTTTAAGAAAAACTTCACAAAGACACACTGGAACAAAGAACAGAGGGGAGAAAACACAGGCTTTTGTAGAGAAACTCCGAAGCCAACACACTTCTGCACTGGAACTCAGAGAGAGGAGAAACTCGTTCTGCACTTGACCTCAGAGGAGAAGAGCATCCTTTCTGCAGACGACTTTGAGCAAACGAGGAGCATCCTTTCTGCAGACGACTTTGAGCAAACAAGGAGCATCCTTTCTGCAGACATCTCGAGAGAGATGAGATGAAAAGATACAGAACCAACCCAGCACCTTCCCAGAGTGAACTGTGAGTAATCAATCCAGAACAGTTATCCATTGAACCAGGTCCAGAGAGAGGATCACAATCTTCCATATCCAAAGTAACTCGAGGGATTGCCTTCTGCACCTGCCTGGTATCTCCGGAGGCTGTTCATGGGACAACTCTAATGGTTTCATCAATTTGCTGATGACCTTACATCACAGTAATTGCACACTAAACTTAAACAGCGTTCAGTCTAGAAATAAACCAGTCCAAAGTCTGCCTTCTAAGTTTCACTAATTTTACTCATCAATTAGACCTTTGATTCAAAGCCATTTGTTATTTGGTTAACTTTTGTCATGCATAATTTATCATATATATCACAGACTATAATTTTTATAATAAATTACATAAAATTCAACTGAATTTGTGATTATTTTGACATATTTGTGTGTATTACTGATTTGATGCCCTTTAAACATGAGAAAAGAACTCGTGTTCAATTTACATTTTGGGGTAAATAGACTGATTTTTCCTCTCCTAGAGAGGTGGTGCCCAAAAACGAGGTTATTTGCATAATACATGCATATCTTATGAGCTTAACTCATAACTGATAATTAACAGTATATTTACACCCTATATCGCTACATTAGTTTTTTGTCTTTAAAGCATTTTTCCATTGCATTTGTTTTTTTTGTGTTTATCTATTTTCTGTGATTGCAGATTTTTTTTCTGTTGCACTTGATCTTTTTATTTATGAGTTAGAATCATTCATGTGTTTGCAGCGTATTCTTTTTCATTTAACCTTTATTTATATAGGTTAATCCCACTGAGCCTCAGGGACTCACAAGACAGAACTGGTTTTAACAAAGAGTGATGACAACAGTAGACAATCATAAAAGGGTGTATACAAATTGAGAATAACAAGTGAAAATAAAGTGGTATCGGTATTTAAAAAAAAATCTATTGAATGGTTTTAACTGTTTGCTGTGTGTTTAGCTCCTTGCAGCTCATTTGCACCTGTCACTCACCGTGGAGGTGGGACTCCTCAGTAGCTCTAACCGTGAAAGACCTCTTCTGGGGTAAGTTGAACTAGACTTCTACAGAATCTCTATTATAAAAAAGTGAAACACCACCTAGTGGACAAATATAAAAATCGAAAGTTTGGTAAATGAGGTAAAAATAAAAAACATCACTGAGGAATGTTATTTTATGATATGATGAGATTAAAAAAAAAGACAAAACAAGGGTTATTACTCACAGCTAAACTGCTTTTGTCTGGTGTGAATTATCATGTGTGTCTTTAGATTACCCTTTCTGTTAAACATTTTTCCACAGTCTTCACAACTAAACTGTTTCTGTCCTGTGTGAACTATCATGTGTGTATTTAAATTTGACTTCTGTCCAAACCTTCGTCCACATAGATCACAAGCAAATGTTTTCTGTCCTGTGTGAACTGTCATGTGTCTGTTAAAAGTTGACTGCTGCCCAAACCGTTTTCCACAAAGATCACAAGCAAATGTTTTCTGTCCTGTGTGGACTATCATGTGTCTGTTTAAAATTGACTTCCGTCCAAACCTTTGTCCACAAAGCTCACAAGCAAATGTTTTGTCTCCTGTGTGAACTATCATGTGTGTGTTTAAATTTGACTTCTGTCCAAACCTGTGTCCACAAAGATCACAAACAAATGTTTTCTGTCCTGTGTGGATTATCATGTGTCTGTTTAAAATTGACTTATGTCCAAACATTTGTCCACAAAAATCACAAGCAAATGATTTCTGTCCTGTGTGAACTATCATGTGTCTGTTTAAAATTGATTTCTGTCCAAACCTTTGTCCACACACATCACAAACAAATGCTTTGTGTCCTGTGTGAACTATCATGTGTGTCTTTAGATTACCCTTTTTGTTAAACATTTTTCCACAGTCTTCACAACTAAACCGTTTATGTCCTGTGTGAACTATTATGTGTGAGTTTAAAGTTGACTTCTGTCCAAACTTTTTTCCACAGTCTTCACAACTAAATGAGTTCTGTCTTGACTGGTTTTTCTTGATTGAGCCTCCAGTTTTCTTCACTTCAAAACATTCCTTGATAACCAAACAACTTGAAGACATCACTGATGGACTTCTCTTGTGAAAGTGTTTCTCATGCTCAGTGAAGCTGCAAGATTTGTTGACAGTGTTTACGCCTGACTCAGGAGCTCTGCTCTCCTTCCAGTCTTTGTCACCATCTTCAGGTTCTGACCCAGAGTCTGATAAGTCTTTTGGCTGAGAGTCAGAGTCATTCACATCATCACCTTCATCATCCTCACTGACTTCAGTCTCTGAAGAGCTGCAAACATCTCCATAAGAATTTAGATCTGGGTTCCTGGTAGTCTCTGCTCCTCCACA